AGAGTTTCATACTAGGTTGATGTTAAATAGCCACAGCGTAAATTATTTAATATGGTTGCATATTCTGGGTCATTAATTTGGCGCATTTGTTTTTTCAAAATAACCACATGTTTTACCGATTTCCATAGTTCTCTTCCACTAGCGTTAATTAAATTTCAAGTATTGATAGGGTTTGTTGAGTTTATGGTTTTATTAACATTGTTAGGCTGATATAACGGAAGATCAAGTACTGGAGGTAGTTGCATGAAATCACCAACAAAAATGATATTTAAGCCAGCAAAAGGGATAGTGTCATCTTGAAAGCATTTTGCTTCTTTAACACGTGCATGAAATTGTGTTAGAAGTTTCTGTTCTATCATAGAAACTTCATCTACAATGAGATATTCGATGTCCGACTAGCGATCTTGGAGTACTTTTTTTAAGCTTTCTTGAGTAAAATTATATTTAAAACTACAATTAATATCATCACTGAATTTAACGCCACACAAAAAATGGATTGTATAACCACCAATGTTTGATGCAGCAACACCAGTTGATGCACAAACAACAAGAGATAGCTTTTGGCCAATTCTATTAAAATATTCACAGATTGCCTTAATAACTTCTGATTTTCCTGTACCTCCGGCACCACCTAAAAACATTAATAACTGAGATGGCTTGTTGGGACTGCCAGGGTAATTTCGCTTACGATGATCACAGATAAGCAAGAAAACTTTTTTTTGCTCATCATTAAGTTTGGCTGAAATTTCTCGAAGTGGGTCTGTTTGACTTAATATTGATGCTGATAGTGGATAAGTTGATATTTTTTGATTGAAAGTATAGATTAAAGATTCTGGTAGATTGTTTTCTTCAAAATTTATTTTATCATTTAGCTGTTCTGCTTTGTTTCTTAATGTTATAATTGTTTGCCATTTCTGAATTAAGTCATCATCGTCCTCACAAGAAGGTTTTACTTGGACTTTTTTATCATTACAGTTTAGAGTATTAAATTTTTTCTGATATTCATATTGGCTTTTTTCATTGAATATACTCATAAGGTGCAAGTAAAGCATTGCATTGTCAACAAATTTCGTATTATCTAATCCAGAACGTACAATACTATATGGTTCTAATGGCGTTAAATCAGAGGTGTTAAAGTTGTATTGATCATCTAGCATCTCAATATCATCTTCAGCAGCATTATAACCTACTATAGTTCTTTCCACTCGCTGAACCCTTGCTATTTCCAGATTTTTACAGGCCATTTTACACAATTGATGGTCTAAAATTGTCTTTTCCGCACAGCGATGTAATAGTTCAATATTGTCAATTATTGTCTGTAATCGCATTGACAGATTTGAATTCTGTAAAAATGCATTACATGCTTCACACCACAACCTATATCCTGCTATAAGATAATCTGAGGTAGTCCATGGTTTAAAGAGTAAAAGGATGCAAAGTCCATAACAGTCAGATCATTTTTTCTCGGTATACTTTTTCCATACAAGATAGGTATTCTTTCATTTTGCGACACCAATAAACTTGCATATGTGTTAAATGTTGGTGATGTATTTTACTATGATCACAAGATTTATCACATCTCTTTTCTCCACCTAAAAATAAAAATCTATCTACTTTTGTCGCTCGTCCTTTGCGATTTTCTTGCCTTGCAAGTTTTTCTAATTCCTTGTCATTGATTTTGATCTTGCAAATTGTTGCTATATAGTCGTAAAGGCACATATTCTTTAATTGATCACTGTGATATTGTAGTTGATTCTCAAGTTTACAGCTGCTATTTTTTTACTTGAATTTGTTATTACAAACATTTCATTAGTAGCATCATAATTACTTTCATCATTATCACTATTTTCCTGTTCTAGTTCATCATCATTGTTAGATGTGTTAAAATGTTTTAAATCGCTTATATTTGTTTGCCCAGATTTTTTTTCAATAGGATGCCGCATCGTCAAATATGTTTCAAAAGAGATGAGATAAATTGTAGCAAACTTGTTTGGTGTATAATGGTCTTCAAGACCTAGAAGATAGGCTGATACTTGAGGCCCAGTCATTTCTGTTTGTCCTACAATATTATTTTTATTTTTTTTTTTTTATTTATATAATATCATAGTAGAAACTTTAAGATACAGTAAGAAATTTAATTACAGAAGAAAATTTCTAAAATA